TCTTATATCTTTATATAGAAAACTTACTTTCCGAAGAAAATCAGTGATGCGCTTTTTACAAGAAGATACGCTATAGCGAAGTCTGTAGCACAAAGTAGCTATTTTATTGAGATTCGCTATTTTATTGAGAGGATAGGATATCTTTGATCGGGGTTTATTTACTTATTTATAATATTATGTTCGATTTCCCATACTTACAGGAAATATTGCATTATTCATATCGTTGTTATATATGTATATATATATATATATATATATATATATATATATATATATACATGTATATATATTTACATACACACATACATACATACATACATATATACATACATACATACTTTTATCTCTATCTTTAGGTTATATTAAAAATCTCAGGTCCTTTTTGGATTGATAAAAGTTCACAAATTTCAATTTGTTTTGAATGTTGAAAAGTTTGTCCGGAATGGGCTCCTAAACGGCTTGACCGATTTTTATGAAATTTTGTAATCATATTCAGTTCGACTGAGAATAGGTCACCATCTATTTTTAACTTCCCGTAGGGTAAGTTATAGTAATCGTCCAAAAATCGAAATCAAAAATTTTTACATTTCTCGACGTTTTGAAGGTTTTTGAACATTTTGGCATACTTCAGAAAAAATGGATGTGTGTGTGTGTGTGTGTGTGTGTGTGTTTTGTATGTCCGCTTTTTTTAAACTAAAAATTCAAAAAATCACCCAAGCTAAGCACAGTCTAAGCGCCACTCTGGTACAAATGTTTACCCAAGTGCGTTTAGACTGTTTGTGTACTGGAGCACTTTTCCAATTTTGTGAAAATTATTGAAAAATGTGAAAATGCCGCCAAGCTGAGCACAGTATAAGTGAAAATGTCGCATAGAATTATTCGCAAATGCGTTTAGACTGTGACTATGCTGGAGCACTTTTTCAATTTTGTGGAAATTTGGCAACTATTTTTTTTTTTTTAAATTTGATTCGAAATGAAATGACGATTGTTAATGTTCTGGAGGTGATAAATTGATTTATTTATAATTAACTTTCCGTAGGGTAAGTTATAGTAATCGCACAAAAATCGAAAATGAATATTTTTATATAACTTTACGTTTCAAAGGTTTCTGAATATATTGGCATACCTTAGAGAAAATTGATGTATGTGTGTGTATGTGTGTGTGTGCGTGCATTTGTGTGTGTTCAGATACAAATTTTCGTCGACGATTTCGGGAATCGGGATGAAGCAATTTGAATAATTCAAAAACATTTTACTTGCATTATCAAGATGAAGATTTGATGAAATTTTTATGAAATTAGGTCTAGCGGTTTCAGAGATCTAGTAAAAAAAGTAAAAAAAAATAACATTTGGCGGTCAACAATAATCATTAGACATTAGACATATGCACATCAAATTATCAGATATTTTATAGAGATTTTAACAATGAGTATACATTTTGTTAACATTCCTATGGGTTCCGTACCAATGCTTATGCGTTAGACAGCGACGCGGCGCTTACGCGCTTCGATATTTAGTCTCTATGCATTAAAGCAGTACGATTGCTTTGAAAAAAAGTTCAGAATTTCCAAAATATTTCAAAATAAATTTTTCAACAAAAAGTAAGTTTTTGTCAAAAATTTATATAGTTCCTCAAAAATCTATTTTTTTTAGAGTAAATTTTTTTAAAAAATGTTAATCTTTTCAAAAAAAAAATAATTTTTGGTACGGGAAGTTCCAGCAATTTGCCTTAAGGCACGATGCCATGCGCCCCACTAGTTTATATTTTCAAGTGGTAAGGGTTACATAAATACATACATACTTTTATTTCTATATTACTCTATCGATTTCATATGAGAAACCACAAAGTAAATTTATTTCTGTATATTTTACAATGCGTTCTAGGTTATTGTAAATTTTAAAAAGAATCCAAAGAACTGATGTGGAGATATAAAAATGCAGAAATATTTTCATAAAAATATCGCAATGCAGATTTTTGCAACAAAGAAAAATGCACTTCAAATATTCCGCAAGCAAAGTACACTATTAAATATACATGTAATAAAAATAAAACATTTATGAGTAACAATCTAACATTTATTGGTTGTAAAAACTGTTGTATAAAGAAAACAAGGTGTGAGTGGCATTTAACCTTAAGACAAATTACAAAAATTTATGTCAATGCTCTTTAGATTTTTAAAATTGGCAAAAAAAAATATATACAATCAATTACAAACAAAACGGTGGAGCAACCTTCATTCAAAACGAGTTCAGCTTGAATTTTCAAAATTAACAAAAAAAATTATATACAATCAATTATTATACGGTGGAGCAATCTCCTTTCAAAGCGAGTTCAATTGACTTTTGTATCAATTTATAATTAGTCAATTACATTTTTTAACAAAATTCTTCTTTGTAATAATTAACAGATATAAATCTATTTTCTTATTAAAGTTTTGTAGTTAATTTAAATGAATTGTAAACTGGAATGGTAATAAAAAGACGAAATGGTTCTTTTAATGAGATCATTAAAAAACTCGTTTTTGTACTCGGATTGAGTCGTAAAATGTCACTCACAAATCTTGAGCATATTTCACACCAAAATATAAAGTTTTAACGAAATTCCAACTTGTTTGATGAAAACAATTTTCATTTTCTTTTTGTTTTGTTCTTAAACTTTGTTTATTTTATTCAAAAATACTATTTTTGTTTTGATTAATAGTATATGTCATTGAAATAATAAGATATAAAATTGAGTTTATAATACAAAAAGATTTGTTAATGTTTGATATTCTGTTACTACTTTATTTTTTTCTCATTTTTTTATATAAAAACGTGCAAATGTGAAGACATCTCCACAGTATTAAAGTGTCTTCATTATCAAAAACTTCAAGAACTTTTATTATGATTAAACAAGGTGCATAAAAGTGAAAAAGAGTATCATTAAAAATAAGTATAATTTTATATATATATATATATATGTGTGTGTGTGTGTGTGTGTGTAAAAAAGTTGCTTAAGTCGTACCGTCTGAAGAAATTGTACAATAATATTTAGTGCTATTAGAATTTTTTAAAAAAATGACGTTTTTTGCATGTAAAATTAGTTGGCTTTAGTTTTTGATAAACAATTATCGAAATATTAATTTTTAAGATCAAATGTTAATTTTTTTATTAAAATAGGTGGTAAGATTGTTGGTACGATTAAAAGGTTTTGTTGCCTAAGTCGTACCACATACAATCTATTTGTGTGATCTATGTTTCTAGTTAATAGTTTACTTCTTAAGATTGTAATTAATATCTAGAAATATTTGTAGAAAACTTAATAATTCTGATACCAGGTATTATAGTCAACATATCAAAATACAGTATACTCAAATTGCAACATCCTAGTGCCAACAGTACGTTCTGAAGAGCTTTTTAAAATTGCTGGTTATTTTACATCCATCTAAAAACTGCCTTAACTAGTTCACTGGTTGCATAGTGTACTTTGTGTATATTTTTATTAATATCACAAAATTTGCTAAGGAAACTTTTCAATCCTAATACCAGGTATTATTGTCAACATATTAAAATACAGTATACTCAAATTGCAATTTGCTGGTGCCAACAGTACGTCCTGAAGAGCTTCTCAAAATTGCTAGTTATCTTACACTCATCTAAGAATTGCCTTGGTTGCACAGTGTACTTTTTATATATTATTATTAATAGTACAAAATTTTCTTAGGAAACTTTTTAATTATAGTACCAGGTATTATTGTCCATATATCAAAATATAGCATACTCAAATTGCAAGATTCTAACACCAGCGGTACGTTCTGAAGAGCTTGTCAAAATTGGTAGTCATTTTACACCCATCTAAAAATTGCCCTAACTTACGTAGTGTACTTTGTGTATATTTTTATTAATATCACAACATTTTTTGAGAAAACTTTTTAATTTTAGTACCAGGTATTATAGTCCACATATCAAAATATAGCGTACTCAAATTACAAAATCCTGGTACCAACAGTACGTTCTAAAGAGCTTCTCAAAATTGCTAGTTATTTTACATCTATCTAAAAATTGCTTTAACTAGTTTACTTGGTACGTAGTGTACTTTGTGTATATTTTTAATTATTGCACAAAATTTTCGGAGGAAACTTTTTAATTCTAGTACCAGGTATTATTGTCAATATATCAAAATAAAGCATACTGAAATTACAAGATTCTAGTACCAACAGTACGTTCTGAAGAGCTTCTTAAAAATGATAATTATCACTTTTCTAAAATGATAATTATCTTACACTATACAAGAGTCCTCTAAAGATTGTCTGAACAAGTGCACTGGTTGCAAAAATAATTTATAGTAAAAATAAAACTAAAATGTGCATAAGTTAACAAATAGATGATAGTAATAAATACTTCAAAATTTTATATATTATATTTGTTTAATAATATTACAAATCACACACAAAAAATCTATAGTTTTGACAAAAAATCTACATTTTAGAAAATGATCTATTTTGTAAAAAAAATCTGCATTTTTGGAATAAAATTTACAATTTAAAAGACAATCTGTAGTTTTCACAAAAAATCTCAAAATTCTGAAAAAAAATTAAATTTGAGATAAAATTATAGTTTGAACAACTTTAACTATTTTACTTTGCAATTTTATTCAAACTGTTCGATTGACTTTTATACTTCCGTTAGTTTATCAAAATAATCGATTATCTTGTTTGAAATATCCAAATAATGTTATCAGCGAATGGCAAATCAAAATTCATGGAAATCAGGCGTAATCGTCAGTTTCATATCATAGAATGACTCCCTAGTCGAGACTAAAGAAGTTTTACTGCAAAATTTTTAAAAGTAAAAATGAAACAAAAATGTACATAAATTAACAAATAGATGTAAACAATAAATACTAATAAAATTAAAATTTTATACATTATATTTTTTAATAACTTTACAAAGTCGCAGCAATAAAACTATCCAAATGGAATTTTCATAAAGATAATAAGACAAGCTTTTAAAGAAAATCATCAATATTCTTCATAAACTTCAAAATTATCCCTCATAGTCTGCATTCTTTCCATCTCAAATAAATTAGTCTCAGATCTCCTATCCTGTGCAACAGCCTTCAATCTATCAGTTAACTCCTGAGACTCTTTTGCAATCCTAATAAAATCATGGGCGTCCAATCTGAATAATTCACAATACTCAATGGCCACAACACTGGCCAATCTTCTCTGGCCCTTCAACACTAAAGCTGTTTCTCCAAAAAAGTCTCCATCGTATAAATGACACACTTCTCGTCCATTTGCGGTAATAATCGTCACTGAACCTGTTACAAGGAAATACATACAGTCGCCCCTAGCTCCCACTCTAATTATTGTGTCGTTTGGGCAATATATTTCGGCCTTTAGGTGTCGCATTAGAAGTTCTAGGACGTACCTTGGTAAATGATAAAAAAAATTACATAATAGTTATAGAATTTTTTTTAAAATAAAATTAATGTACATGTAATTAAAAGCATCATGTTGTGGTACAGAAGGCGACGAGTTTGAGGAAATAAAAGAAGACTCTGCAAATCTTCCGCGGTTGTTTTTTTTGTGTGGAATAATAGATTGTAAAGTGTTAGAAGTGTGGTTTAAATGTTTTTTTAATACAGAAAATTTTAAATTCATTACTACTCACTGATTAAATTTTTGTATTAAATTATGTACATTTGCTTTATTTTTACTGTAAATAGTTTTTGCGACCAGTGCACTAGTTCAAACAATTTTTAAAAGGCTTAGAAGATAATTATCAATTTTGAGAAGCTCTTCAAAACGTACTGTTGGTACTAGGATCTTGTAATTTGAGTATGCTATATTTTGATATGTTGACTATAATACCTGGTACTAGAATTAAAAAGTTTTCTCAGAAAATTTTGTGCTAAAATAAAAATATATAAAAAGTACACTGTGCAATCAAGGTAATTTTTAGATGGGTGTTAAATTACTAGCAATTTTGAGAAGCTCTTCAGAACGTACGGTTGGTATTAGAATCTTGTAATTTGAGTATGCTATATTTTGATATGTTAACTATAATACCTGGTATTAGAATTAAAAAGTTTTCTCAGAAAATTTTGTGATATTAAACAAAATATACACAAAGTACACTAGTAAACTAGTTGAGGTAATTTTTAGATGAGTGTAAAATAACTAGCAATTTTGAGAAGCTCTTCAGAACGTACTGCTGACACTAGGATCTTGTAATTTGAGTATGCTATATTCTGATATGTTGACTATAATACCTGGTACTAGGATTTAAAAGTTTTCTCAGAAAATTTTGTGTTATTAGCAAAAATATACAAAAAGTACACTTGGTTAATTTAAAATTAATTAAAACCATCATGTCCTAGCACGGCAGGTGAGGAGTTTAAGAAAATAAAAGAAGACTCTGCAAATCTTTGGAAGATCACATTTTTTTTCTGCACGGAATACTAGATTGTTAAGTGTTATAAATGTGGTTTAAATATGTTTTTTCGAAGTTTTTTAAGCAATTAGTACCAAAAAATAGTAAACAAAAAGTTTTTTTTAACGACGTTTGGAAACTAAATATGATGCATTATCAGGTTATTTCATGACAAAAACTAGTTTTTTTGGTAACTGCATTGTTGAATGTTTTTGTGTAGACATTTTTTGAAAATATTGTAAAAAAAATTGATTATGTTTTTTATGCAAAAAAAACTGGAAATTGGACAAATATTGAGTGAATGTTGTTTCCATGCAAGGAGTTTGCACCACTAGTTTTTGTTAAAGAAACTTGTAAATTCATTTTTACAAATTTTGTTGTAAATAAGATGAGTTTATGGGGTTACAAAAAATTTGTTAAATGGATATAGAGGGATAATGATGATTGAATATACTTAGTGACAAAAGTTTCTCAAACTTGCTATTTTTCTTATTCAACATTCTAAAAATTGCTTCACTGTGTACTTTTTATAAATTATTATTACTATCTCGAAAATTTCTGAAGAAACTTGTCAATTCTAGTATCAGGCATTATAGTAAATATAACAAAGTATGACATACTCAAATTAAAAAGTTCTAGTACCTGCAGTACGTTCTGCAGAGCTCCTCAAAATTGCAAATAATCTTACATCATAAAGGAGTTTAGTAGAAATTGCCTTCACTGGTGTACTTTGTAAAGACTTTTATTAATATCTAGAAATTTTCTTAGAAAACTTTCTAATTCTAAAACCAGGAATGGTTGAAAACATGTTAAAGTATGACATATTTAAATAACAATATAATAGTGCCAACAGTACGTTCTGAAGAGCTTCTCAAAATTACAAATAATCTTACATAAACAAATAGCCTATACAAATTGTCTTATCTGGTGTACTTTTTATAGATTTTTATTAATATCTCGAAATTTTCTGAAGGAACTTGTTAAGTATAGTATCAGGAATTATAGTAAATGTACCAAAGTATATCATACTCAAATTACAACATCCCAGTGCTAACAGTACGTTCTGAAGAGCCTTCTAAAGTTGCTACATATCTTACACCCTCTCAAAATTACTTTAGGTATGGTGCTCTGTATATCTCAAAATTTTCTGAGAAAACTTACTAAATCCAGTACCAGGCATTAAAGCAAACATATCAAAGTACCACATTCTCAAATTACAACATTCTAGTGCTAACGGTACGTTCTGAAGAGCTTTCCAAAGTCTACTATATATCTACTATATATATATCTACTTATCAAAGAGGCTTCTGAAATTTACCCTGGATCTGGTGTACCAAACGCAAGGTAACTCTTCGGAGATTGTTACTGATATCTCAAAATTTTCTGAGAAAACTTACAAATTCCAGTACTAGGTATCATTGCAAACATATCAAAGTACCACATACTCCAAAACCAACACGCCAGTATCAAAAATATTGTCTATATCTATCATTTTCTATTACCTCGGCATATTTTTCAGCAAATCCATCTTCTCAAAAACCTTCCCGCACCAGGTCAATTTCAAATCAGTTCTTAAATTAGGCGTCAACATAGAAATCAGGACTTCTTCTTTAAAATGTTTCTGTCTGTACCTATAACTATAGTAATTCCTGATCTTTTTCTGAACCCTTTGCGGAACTTTTTTCACCGCCATATACACATTCAACTGAGACATCATACTCTCGTAGTTTGTATTAGGCATGAATTGATTGAAGATAAAATTAATTATAACAGCCATGATGTAGGATACATTGAATATATTCGTGATGCTAGATATTAGATAGACTAAGGCGTATCTTGGTTCACCAATAAAACTGGTTTCCCGGTGCGAAAACATGTCGACAAAGTATACTTTCATGTTTTCCAAATGGACGGATAACGTGAAATCGGATTCACGTTCTGAATTATATTTGTAAAGGATTGATAAACAAACGCTGGTTATTACGTGACATGTCAGGAATGTGTAGATTATTATAAAAATCACTTCGTGGTATTTTGTTTTTATTCCCAGCTTGTCGAAGTAGTTGAAAATGAGGTGTTTTAGGGTTATGACGCGTCCGTAGAGCAAGAGTTTTGGGTAGGCGTAAAACAAACCTGGAAATAAAATTTATTAAGTTGCTTAAAAGTTGACTAGATTTGCTTAAAGTTATCTAGAATTTCATAAAGTTGTCTAGAGTTGTTTGAAGTTATTTATAATTGCTTAAAGTTGTCTGGGGTTGCTTCAAGTTGCCTAATGTTGCCTAAAGTTATCTGGAATTGCTGGAAGCTGTCCAGAGTTAATACAAATTAACTAAAGCAGCAAGAAATTGTTTAATGTTGGCAAAAATTGTCTAAACTTAACTAAAAATGGTCAAAAGTTACTAAAAGCTGAAGGTTGGTCTAAAGTTGCCAAAAATTGTTTAAAACTGCCAAAACCTGTCTAAAATTGTCAAAGCTTGTCCAAGTTGTTCAATGCTTGTTTGAAGTTAGTCAAAACGTGTTTAAAGTTAATGAAAAATTGTCCAGAGTTAGAAAAAATTGTCTAAAATTGGCAAAAATTGTCTAGGTTAGTAAAAATCGTCTTAAATAATCAAAATTTGCTTATAGTTGTGAGCAATCATCTACAGCTGCAAAAAATCGTCCCGAGTTATCAAAACTTGTGTAAAGTTGGCAAAAAGCGTCTGGAGCTGGCAAAAATTAAAATTGTATGAGCTGGCAAAAATCGTGTAGAGCTGTCAAAAGCCGTGTAGAGTTGTCAAAAATTGTCTAGAGTTGGTATAAAATTGTTCAGAGCTGATTTAAAATTGTTTAGAGCTGGCTAAAATTGTTTAGAGCTGTCGTGTAGTCGTGTAGAGCTAGCTAAACTTATGTAAAGTTGTCAAAAAACATTTGGAGCTAGCAAAAATTAAAATTAAAATTGTCTAAAAAGGGCAAAAATTGTCTACAGCTGGCAAAAATTGTCTAGAGCTGGCAAAAATCGTGTAGAGCAGGTAAAAATCGTGTAGAGTTGTCAAAACTTGTGTAAAGTTGGCAAAAAGCGTCCGGAGGTGACAAAAATTGTCTCGAGCTGGCAAAAGATCGTCTAGAACCGGCAAAAATCGTCTATAGCTGGTTAAAATCATCTAGAGCTGGCGAAAATCGTCTAGAGCTGGCGAAACATGTCTAGATTTGGCAAAAAATGTTTAGAATTGGCAAAAATTTGTCTAGAGTTGGCAAAATTTGTCTAGAGTTGGCAAAAATCGTCTAGAGTTGGCAACATTTGTCTAGAGTTGGCAAAATTTGTCTAGAGTTGGCAAAATTTGTCTAGAGTTGGCAAAATTTGTCTAGAGTTGGCAAAAATCGTCTAAAATTGGCAAAAAATGTCTAGAGTAGGCAAAAATCGCCTAGATCTGACAAAATTCTCCTAGAGTTGGCAACAATTGTCTAGAGTTGGCAAAAACTGTCTAAAGTTGACAAAAACTGTCTAAAGTTGGGAAAAATTGTTGATAGTTGAATAAAACTGCCTATAGTTGCCCAAAATTGTCTAGAGTTGGCAAAAACTTTTCTAACGTTGGCCAAAACTTGTCTAAAGTTGGCAAAAATTGTCTAGAGTTGGCAAAAATTGTCTAGAGCTCACAAAACTGATTTAAAGTTGTCAAAACTCATCTAGTGTTAGCAAAACTTGTTTAAAGTTGGCCAAAACTGTATAAAGTTGACAAAAAAATTCTATAATTGGTCAAAACTAGTTCAAAGTATGCTAAGACTTGTCTAAAGTTGGCTAAAACTTGTCTAAAGTTAGCCAAAGTTGTCTAAAGCTGGCAAAAATCGTCTAGAGCTAGCAAAATTAACAAATATCGTCCAAAATTGACAAAAATTCATCTAAAGTTAGCAAAACATGTTTGAAGTTGTCAAAAATGGTCTAGAATTAGCCAAAACTTGTCTAATATTGGCTAAAGTTGTCAGATATCGTCTATAGTTGTCAAATATCGTCTAAAATTGTTAGAAATTATCTAAAGTTGTCAAAGATTGTCTAGGATTAGCAAACAACGCCTAAAGTTGTCACAAATTATCTGATGTTAGTCAAACTTGTTTAAAGTTGGCGAAAACTTATCTAAAACTAGCCAAAACTTGTCTAAAGTTGGCTAAAAATGGTTTAAAGTGGTCAATTTAATACAAAGGCTCTTCAAACACTTTTTGCCAAGTACTTTGTTAAAACAAATAATTTTGTTTTTGTCAAATTGTTTATGATCAATCTAATTTCACTTACAACTACAACCTACCAGTTTTCGTATTCCCTGCAAAAAACGTCAACCCAGGCACAGCGCTCACCAAATCCATCCAAAAATAAAACATCACATACTTCTTAGCAATACGTTTCGTTTCCAAAACCACGACTTCTTCAGCATCATCGACATAACCCGTAAAAAAATTCTTCACCACATTCAACAATAATAAAAAATCCAACAGCAATTGCAAATAATGAAAAAAGTTTACGGTGGAGGGCGTAACCACCAAAACCGGTACAGTAATCATTGCCAAAATATAAACCAGGGTAATATAAAATGAATAGTAATATTCTAAAAGGCTGTGAGGGTGAATTATGTACCAATATCGGCTCATGATGTGTTCTTGAGCGGCTTTTGTGATTTTTTTTCTTGATCTGAATAATGTACTGTATTTTAGACGTGGTGAAATGGTGATTAAAAGTTGTAGTTTGCGCATTATTCGATTTAGGAGGAAATTTCGGCTGTAGATTTTGGCCTGAAGAACTGTTTTTTCAAAACTGGGCACGTCTGCCAAGCTGCATAGGTGGTCGTTGTAGGAAAACATTGTAGAGCAAATTTTTTTTCCCAAAGTTTTTGGTTCTAAAATAAATGGACAGATTTTGTAATGGAATTGTTGTTAATGTTCTGGAAATAAATTGATTTATAATTTACATTTGATTTGCTCACTCGGATATAACAAGATAGCAAAAATAATTAAAATTACAGTACTTGTAATAATATATAAGGTTGTCAAATATCTCCCTTCCGCCTTTTTGTATTATAAGCCAAGAGCAAAAAAGCGGAAGGGAGATATTTGACAACCTAATATATTTGAAAACGTTTAAAATTTCTCGAATATTTCATTTATTGACGTGGGTCCCGAAGGAAAGTTTATGTTTTCATCAAAAAATTCGATTTGCTGATTTTATGTTTTCTCTTAGACGTTTCAAGGCTTTCTGAATCGACTTAGTGGTGTATGGCATCGTGCCTCAAGGCAAATTGCTAAAACTTCCCGTACCGTAATGAAATATTCGAGAAATTTTAAACGTTTTCAAATATATTATTACAAATACTTTCATTATGTTTTTGGTTCTAAAATAAATGGAGAGATTTTGTAATGGAGTTGTGGTGTGTGATTTTGTTTTAATATGTTTAGGCTTTTATTACAACTTTGAAGCATAATTGTACAAAATATTCTATGTGGTACTTTGATATTACTGCAAAAGTCTTGTTTATTTCTACTAAATAGTAAAATATTATAATAATAATGTTGTTAATATTGCATAATTGTATATATCTAACTATTAATGTGTACTTACAAATTGATTTAACAACAAACTATTATTTTCACACTTTTACTTGTATAATAACTATTTTTCTTTATTACGGATGTAATGCAATAATTTGTTTGTCAATTGTTTAAAAAACAATTGAATTGCGTTTGTCATTTGTTTAAAAAACAAATCGCAAAAAAGCGCATTTTGAAACCCTTTTTGAAACATTCTGGTACATTTCAAAAAAACTAGTGGTGTATACCGTAACGAAATGTTTGAGGGATATTAAATGTTTTCAAACAGATTATTATTAATACTGTTACGTTGTCTAATATTTATAAGATTTATATAAACTGAATTGCAAAGTTTAAATTATTTATTTAAAGTATATAAGTGAGCTTTAGCACTTTAGCCAGAATTGAGATGTCAGTTATTTTTGATATACGAAAAAAAAAATTTTTGAGAGAAAAAAATTGGAATAAAAATGAAATACATTTTTTTTTCCAAAAGCAATTATTTTCTCAACCATGGCATACTGGTTTTTTGAATGATTCAAATCGGATGCATAGTTCTCTCAAAAGCTGCCGTTCTTTGTATATTTAGCTCTGTGTCTTTAAAATAGCTGGAACTGCCTTTGCCAAAAACTAGTAAACACTTCTCCTAATCATTGCTAATTGAATGTATTTTGGAACATTCAGATCGGATGCTCCGTTCTCTCAAAAACTCGTTTTGTATTTTCTGCACTCTTTGCTCCGTATCTCTGTAACGGCTGGACCTGCCTTTGCCAAAAACTAATCAGCATATCTCCCTATCAGTAGAAATCGAATGCGTTTTAAACCATTTAAATCGGTTGATCCGTGCGCCCGGAAACGTGGACGAAAAAATGTATCCAAAAATACATACACACACACATCAACTTTTTCTGAGTAAAAAAATTAGTATGATTCTTACAAAATTCTAATAAAACCTAACGAGAATTTAAAAAGAATGCAATAAGAATTGTATAATCCAACAAGAATCTAATAAAAGGCTTGGTGAAAATACAAAAGAATCTCATAAAAATCAAATAAGAATTTTATAACGATTTGTTAGAATCTGATTAGATTTTTATAAGAGATTAATTCAATGAAAATTTTAATTCAATAAAAATCTAAAAAGACCCCAGTATGAATCTAATAATATTCTAATAAGAATCCGATAAGAATATCATGAGAAAATACAAAACGAATAAAAATTTATAAGAATCCAATAGGAATTTAAAAGAAATGTAATGTAATATTTCCATTATATTTTTACCAGAATCTTATTAGTATCTTGTTTTATTCTTATGAGAATAATGATAGTTTTTTTACCAAAATTTTGTTCAAATCTTATCAATAATATGCTCCGTTTTTCTGTAACGGCTAGACTTGCCTTTGCCAAAAACTAATCAGCACATCTTCCTATCTCTAATGTTTTCTGAACCAATAAAATCGGTTGATCCGTGCGCCCGAAAACGTGACTGGAAAATAGTATCCGTACATACATACACACACACATATCAATTTTTTCTAAGTAATGTCAAAGTATTTTTTGGCAAAAAAGTAAACAGTATGATTTTTACATAAATCTAATAAAATTTAAAATGAATTTACGAAGAATGCAATGAAAAGTGTATAGGAATCCAACAAGAATCTAATAAAAACAATAATCTAATCTTGGGATAAATACAAAAGAATCTCAAAAAATCTAATAGGAATTTTATAACGATCTTATCACAATCTGATTAGATTTTTATAAGAGATTTCACCTTAAATTCTAATTGTATCCATACATACATGCACACACACACATCCATTTTTCTGAAAGCTTTAAAACCTGAGAAAATGTAAAAATTTTCAATTTCGATTTTTGGACAATTACAATAACTTACCCCACGGGAAGTTAATAAAACTTCTTGCTATAACTAAATAATATTATTCTATTAAATTTAGTTGAACGTGATCTGTCAAAATCATTTGGCATTTGACGTATGAGCTGACCTCTATTGTTTTATTTTAAATTAGGGTTCTACAAAAAAAACTCAAATCATAAAGTATGAAGTAATTTCTCACCTTTTGCACAATCTGTGGGTTGGCACAAATATTTCAAGACTAAAAGTGGCCAAATCGGTTCAGCCGTTTTTTACTTTTTGCGTGCCTAACATAATATCGAGCTCTATTTTTATATAATATAATATATATATATATATATATATATATATATATATATATGTTGTTTATCATGTTTGTATAGGAATCCCTAAAATCAGGCCATTAAAGTGCTTTTTATACCGAGGCGCCTATATAATGGCCTGTAAGCAAATTTTTTTGTTGGCATTTTATTCGGAGCGATAAAACGCTTATCGTATTTCCTGATTGCTAATGAGCCCGACTCGCGTTATTATAATTCCCTTTCTGAAAGGGCAAAAGCAAAAGCAAAACTGAAAGCAGCCCTTATTATCAACCACACGACTAAAAATATTATTATCGAGTCGAAAGAGAAAATTATTTTTGGGCGATAAATGATATATACAGGATTCGAGAACTATTCGAAAAATATTATCTTATATATAAAAATGGAGCTCTCGATTAAATGATCGGGTAAACCTCGAAAACGGCTGAACCGATTTGGCCAGTTTAGTCTTGAAAATTTCGTGCTAATCAGTAGGTTGTCGGAAAGGTGAGATGTTATTTCAAAATCGCGCAGAAACTTTACATTTTTAATTTGAATTTTTTTATAGAAGCGTAATTTGAATAAAACAATGAACGGTGGCTAATACGTCAAATGTCAAATGTTTGTGACAGATGATGTTCAATTACGTTTAATAGAATGCTTTTCGTGAATATTATTTAATTATGATTAAATTGTAGTAAGTAGTTTTGTTTGCAGTTTTATTATATACATAAACGTTAGTAAACGTTTTGACGTAAACTTAAAATATATTTTCAAAATATAAAGCGTTGTAATAGAGTTATGAAATTATAGTATGTTATTTCTTAATATGTGTACTGAATTATAAAAATATAAAATCAAATATGTTTTTAACAAAAGAAACTAAAAAATTGCAATGCACACCTGCTTACTCTATTTTTATTAGTTCCTAAACGACGGTTGGATATGATATGAGAAGTACTTTTGAAAAATGTTTTAAAAATATACAATATTATACTAGAGCTATGGAAATTTTAGTATGTTATTACCTAATACATATACTCATTTATGAAAATATAAAATCACATATGTTTTTAACAAAAAAAGCTATAAATGTGCAATTTTGTAAACAAATGCACTCTTGCAATAGTTGCAAGTCCACGGTTTGATGAGTATTTTGAAAAATATTTAAAAATATAAAACGTTATACTAGAGTTATGAAATTTGAGTATGTTATTTCGTAATATGCGTACTAAATTATAAAAATGTAAAATCACACATATTTCTTACAAAAATAGCTATAAACTTGCAATTCAGTAAAATTATGTAATAGGGCTGCAAGTGGTACTACAAACTCAACAATATCAACTTTTTTGAAATATTAATATGAAAATGCACTTGTTGGCATATTTTTCTCAAACACGGTACTTTGAAAAATCTCATTTTTATAATTATATACTCATTGATATTTATAGAACATTTTCTAGGTTATATTATTTTTTATTTATATTATTTAAATTCAGAACCTAAATTTGGTATCGATCAAAAGGACATTTTGCCGAATAACATTTTTCCAGTTATAATTTCCGAGAATTTATCGAAGAATAGATAGAAATATATGAAAGTCCGGGAATAAAACGGTCCACCACTGATGTGTCAAAAACCAGTGAAGTTAAGCATTGTTTAACAACAATATTTGAAAGTAGAGGGAAAAAGATGTATAATCAGCTATAACCTTGATTCTCATGACTGATATTGAGAGATAAACGGTAATCTTTGAAAATCCATAATAAAAGTATTTTCTTCCTTTAGTAGTTTTTTAGCAATAGTTAAAAATGTAATTATTTTGTAAAATACCTTTAAAATTAAAATAAGACATTAAACCTGTTTGCAATCTGGCCGTTCCAAGTTACCCCGCCAATAGGGTAAAAAAGTCTAGATAACAAATTTTTGAAAGACATCAAAAAAGCACATTTCTACAATGATGAAGTATCTGGCAGTTTTACTGAAC